TGAGCTGCAGGCATCATCGTTTTCTGTGCAAAGATTAGTGCTCAGTACGTGTAGAAATCGGGAAGTCTCTTCCAAGCAAAGCCACTTTTTCCTCGGAAAGCTTTGGTTTCGCGCTGGGGAAGCCCAGTAGGACCAAAACCCAATCAAAACCAGCAATACCCGGTCCCACCAGTTTGTTTCGGGTTCTCCCGTGTAAGCGGCAAAAGATAAAGAACCCGAGTTTTCGTGAAAAGTGCATGCTTTTGGATTCAGACAGTTTTCTTAGAGAAAATGTTAGAAGACCCAGCGTTAGGCTCGCAAAAACCAGAAGACAAACACCAAAAAGAGGAAATTCGCAACCGAAGTGTTTTGTCGGAGTTTCTCAGAAAAGGGCAGCGGCGATTTTATTGTACAAGCACAGGCAAAGACGGATTTCCTGAAACCACATACTCTTGGGACAAGATGGATCTTATCTTTGCACGAGGCCGGCACAAATTCTCCGATTTTGGAGAAGCCAACGTTTACTTGTTTTGTTTTTGGTTTGGGTTTGGAGGCCCAGCACAACCAAAGCAACACCAAAAAGACAGAGAACTTTTTTTGCTCTTGCAGAAGAGTTGTTGTTTTGGATTTTCTGAGGTAGAGACAGCAAAGATGATTTCTTTCCTTCAAGCATTCCCTTCAGAAAGCAGGGTTTCCAGATTCAATGCTATCATTTTGAGATACTCGGCTTGGCTGGCGCCGAAAAGGGTTGTGGAACTGGAATTTTGCATGTCACTAGGGGAAGAATTCAACCCCAGGCAAACCGACTAAACCCGAGGCAAGCCCCAGGCAAGGCTCCAGAGACATTGGTTGCATATGTATTGCTGTCTCCTTTGGCCGGCGGGCTAAACACTGGCAACTCAGACGTGGGTGACCTTGTCACACATGAGTCTGAAGAGCATTGGTCTGGCTCAAGCACGGGTTTGGATGGGGAGCTAAACACGGGGACAGGTCTAAACCCTGAGCTGGGTCGCTGATTAGGAACTTTAACTCACCATAATCCGGGAATATAGTAAATAAGAGGATTCGTTAGTATAGTCACTCAATTTCTCAACAATCCAGCCAAGGGGCAAGGCCAGGAGCCGGGAAATTGTGCACTGAGTTGGGCAAAAGCTTGTATCCATACAGCATCAGCTCAACCTGAATCAATCAATTCCATGCATGTAGTACCAGAGCTATCCAAGCAGGTGCTTGCAGTGGGAGTAGCCATGAAAAAGTTCCATTGGCTGATGTATGTGTATTATCTATATAGATAGACATCTTGAATTGCCACTAGATTGTTTTTTCTAGTTCAGCCCTAAATCCTTCACCCTAAGCTCCTAAACCCTGAGCCAGCCCGCGACACCTACTCGGGTATTCCGACCTCAGGTGCGGCCGGCGGATGGGCTTTCACAAATCCAGATGTGGACAATGCCCAAAGCCTACTTGGCCTTCAAGAGGAGTAAGGCTTAGGGGCTTCCTGGTTCGACGAAGAAGCGGGGCACTGCAATCAGAAGTGGGGTATGAGTACAGCAGATGTTGTGAGGTTGTTCCCGGAGCTCTACTACTGGTATCCCGTCATCCCGGTAGACCCAACAAATGAGAAACAGCACAAAATTAGTCGTGCGAGGCCGCGATGTACATATACAGAATGGAAGCAGCTTGTACTCGGTCTTTCTTTCAGCTCGGGATATCCATGCGTGTGCGGCAGAATGCCTTGAGCGGCGGCCGAAACCTCCTGAGCGTGTGCTGTCATAGCGTTGGTTACGGCCCTAGGATTCACTTCTTGGAAGCCTCATTTAGCGGAGTGTCCCAGTCGACTTGCCTCAGCAATGACAAACCTGTGCCTGCCAAGCTCGGATCAATTTGAAAAACTTTTCACCAGTCATTCCTTTTTGAGAGCCCTCTAGTCGAACCTGCGACAACAGAAGGTCTATGACATCTTTCCCCTCTCCAAGTGCAAGCCTCAGACAAGGGAATTTGTCGAGATGATGTTTGCAAGGGCACCGCTCGCGAACCAGTCGGATTATGCTAGGGCCATCTAACTACGTGCTTTGATCATGCACCCTTACAGCACCCAGACGCCAAGAATTTTGGGGTTGAGGATTGGGCTACCTTGGAGAGGATACTGAAGCCGATCACTTGACGCAGCTTTTGCATCCACATGGCCGTTGAATCCGAGCTTTCTTTCACAGAACTCATTCAGGGCTTGGACATATAAATGGCTGAGAATTGTGATGTATCACACGGGCACCGTTTCAATGTGACCCACGCATGCATTGGATGAAAGGCATTCTTTCTGAGATGTTAGGTACAGATTCTCCTGCGCGGAATTGCCCAGTAGAATAACTGCACATCCCCGCACCTCACGTGGCGCTTTTCTGAATTGTGGTGGGGCAGAGGAGAAATTGGTTCTGACAACCGCAAGAATCCAGTCAGTTTTTGGAAAAGGATCCATCATTTGGAAGCCAAATGGGCTGTTCTCAAAAATGGGGGTCCCAAAATGGGTCCCTAATTTTGGGAACTACCTGCATATTGTGAATATCAAGCTTTAAGTTGGCCATGATCCCAGGCCTCCTCCCTTTGCTTTCCTCAACCTGCCGGGGCCTTGGGGCTGACTTGTGGATGTTCCGAATTAGGAGACCCCGCAGACCTACTGGGAGTTTGGGATCCAGAATGAGACTGCTTGGAGGATCCAGCATGCCGACCTTTTTTTTTTTTCGGGATTTTCCAGGCGTGTCTAGTTTGTTTGGAGAGAAATAGGCAGACGCGGATGTTGAGACCAAGCCATGTAGCTTGAAGACTCGGAAGTGCGACTTCAGGTACAAAGTCAAAGAGGAAGACAAGTTCCAGTTCGAGCAGAACTGGAAGGCCACGTTGACAGCAGTCGTGCTGCAAATCTGCAAGGTAAACTGCTTGGAAACCTTTTAAGCTGCCAGATGCTGTTGCAGTTTTGTATCAGTAGATACTTGTTCGTGAATTCATAGCCAATCTCAGTGTAGATCACAAGCTTCCATGTGCTTCGTGACTCGAAGTGCTGGAATCTGGGCGGCTACCCGGCATGACCAACAGCCATCCTGGCTATTGGTGTTGGTGATGACGGTTTCCCTTTGTCAGAAGGGGGCACCTCTGCCGTTGAGATTTTTGAGCAGATCTCCACAATACCCAATAATCTTCCTATGCTCCTGTCTGAGTGGTCTTCTCATCACGACACCAGGCCTCGCCCAGAACAAACGGATGACATGTTGGCCATGGCAAACAAAACCGCAATGCACATGTGTGCAGCTGATTTTGCTAGCCAGAAATTTTCACAGTTTCTCCACTTGTGCTATTATTGCTGTTAGGATTGCTGCTTCGGTTGTTGTCTTGATGAGGAATTTGCCGATCAGCCCCATGATTGCAGGAGGTCGCCAAGTTCAACCAGCGGCAGGAAGGATACTTGTTTACAAAGCATCTCGCTGGCAGAAGCTGGCATGACGCTGATGGAACATGAGCTTCAGGCTTGTGTGCTTTGTTATGTCCCAAGGTGCATCGTAGGAAACTGCTCTCTTCCATTTCTTGTCTAATCGGCCCCCCAAGAGCAATGGCCCTGCAACACCTCACATGCAAGGACTGTAAGCCCCCGAAACCCTCCGGGCTATCACATCTGGAAGCCCTGGTACGGTGCAAGATCTGTGGTTTCTGCTGCCCGCAACCTCGTAGAAACGGGATCTGAGGTTTCTCAAGGCAGACCCGCGTGGAGCACTCAGAAGTTGTGAGGTGTGCGGGTTGGCTTCGGTGTGGCATCTACAGGAAGCCATTTTCAGCCGGCGTACTGGTGTGAGGCTCTTCTGAGGTTCGGAAAATCGTATGAGAAACTGAGTAACCTAGTGACATCCAGTGATACTACTGATGGCCTCGCATTTGTTATAGAGGCTTCTGTAAGGGTGCCAGTGGTAAGTCAGTCCTGCCAAGACGTGAACTATGAGGCATCTAGACTCGCATAACATGCATAGGACCGCCCCTACGCTCCAAATGGCGAGCGGGTTGCTGAAATCGTAAAAAACGTCATGAGTGGCTTGACCCCTCTTTTGTGCCGTTCGAGATGTGCTGTGTTAGGGTTTACAGGGGCTTGCATTGTGTGGGAATGCATGTGGTCCAAGCCTGTCTATCAGTTAGGGTTTATTGCTACGATCTCTCCGACACATGACTGCCCGAATGTCTGAATGTATATAGCGTGTTGTTAAAATCATGGTCCCATTTTAGGTCAACCGTATAATAATACGGCGGATGACACTGGATTTTGACATCAGGTTTGAGTGAAAATCGATCTCAAGACATGCTCGGAGGGGGTGCTGATTTTGACTGAAGCTTGCAATCAAAATCTAGTGTTTTTCATAATACGGCCTCCCAAGGTCTAGGGATCGCCAAAAAGGGACCATGCTTCTGACAAGCTACTATAGATCGCTTGTTGTCCATTCCTGACACTTGACTGAGCACGCAGAGACTGTACGCTGTAGTCAGTACAGATTCAATGTTGAGTCCACCCTTGCCCTATCTATACCCGCAAAACCGCTGTCTGAGTGAATTCCAGGTGCAGAGGGCTACGAGAGTCGCATGTGACTTTGGCAAGTTTCGCTCTCGAGAACACGTGCGCCAATTTCTGCCCCCCAACTCAAAATCAAACTTCATCCCCCGTATAAGAGCGGGTCTAACGGAAGCAGATTAGCAACGGGGTAGGGTGACCATGCCATGACTTTAATGAGTGTAGCAACGACGCTGTTGCATACAGACTGTGTCAAGAACGCAGTGCGTTAGGAGGGCTCGCCATGAGACGATAAGTTTTTAGTGTGCCTGAATAAATCAGCACGGAGAACAACGTGAAAGCCTGAACAACTGATTTGCAAAGATCGCAGGCAAAGCGATTTAGACCAGTACGCAGCGCAATTGAAGCCCTGCAGAACCTCATCAGACCCAACAGCAGGATCTTTTCTCAAGATTGGCCCTATAAGCCGTTATGCCAGCTACGATTACGTCGACATCGTGCAGTGGACCACCGGCGATGCCCAACGACGTGCATCACTGAGGCCCTTCAATGTTTGACAAACGATTTATTCGGCTTCGGGGTTTCTTCCTCAACGCAGTTCTCCTTCTGTGGGCCTCAATGCTGAGAAGCAACCCCCATACAAACAGCAATACTCGAGGCCATGCTTACAGAATTGTAAAAGCACGCGCCTGTATAGCTTTGTTTTTTTGTCCTAAGGGGCTTTTGTTTTTCCTCTTTTCCGCGCGCGCTGGCTTGCGGGTGGTTGGGCATGGGGGGTTCCAGCACATGAGTTGCCAGGCCCCCTTTGAACTCCTTTCGGAGCTTTGCAGTTCAATCCCCAACAACGAAGTCCTTAGTCAGAAGAATACGGAAATGGCAGCTATTGTAGCAGTCATGATGCGCGGATAGTAGGAGTACCGTGAGGAAAATGTTAAATCGCAGCTCGCGCAGACGCAGCTGGTTTTTCAGCTATGCCCGCAGCATGAGCCCTGATGAGCGACACGTTTCTGGCGTTGGCTTTGTGCATTGGGGAAAGGAATCGCGCAGATGAAACTTGCAAGACGCCTCAGAGGTGACAGCGAGTTCTATTAGCCTTCACCGCGACGAAATGCCATGAGTTTGCACAAGACTTTTCTGGTATACCATCTAGATTGATCTGTACCAAGAGGTTGGAAAAGGAAAAATGGTGATGACACTCTCATTTATATCTTTCCTATGCTTAAAGAAGCTATGTTTAGAAAAGCTGGAATGAATGTGAGGACTTCTGGCTGAGGCGTGCTGGTTTCAGGTGGAAACTCCCAGTTTTGGATTTGCAGAGGAAAGAAAGCGCTTCCCTTCGCAACTTCTTTGATCCAAAAAAGCCTTTCTGCCAGGGGATAAGTGTATGTACTTTCTTCCGGCTCCGGAGCATGGTAGATGGAACACTTCGCACATCAGGTTGAGTGGTTGCTTATAGGGTTTCTTTTGTAGTCCATTGCAACCCCTGCTTCCTTTCGGGCGAAGCTTGAAGCCTAAACTGGCCTAAACCCTGAACAGTAGTTTTCATCTTCTTTTCCACTATGCCCATATAACCTGTATGTTCTCTCTTTATTACTATATTACCCCTATATTACTATGTTACTATATCACCATATAGCCCCTATATTGCTATATTACCCCTCTATTACCCCTATACGCTTTCCTTGGCCAGGCCCACCTACCAGGAGCTTGAGGCAAAGCTGCCGGGGCCTTGCCTGGAAACACGAACTTGGGTGGGCCGAGGCAAACGTATAAGGGGCACGCCTACCCTTGGGTGCCTTCACTGCATGTGAGTGCAATTCTTTGCTTGTTGATGTCGCGGTGTTTGATCGTCAATCCTTGCATGTCACAGAATCCGAAAGACCAGAAACCGGGGTCAAAGAGGTCCAGCTTTTGGAAACGGGACCCTTCTTGCTTGTTGCCTGGAGTCCGTGGTCGTGAGACATCGCAGTTTTTCTTGGTTCCTTCTAACTCTCTCTCCGTCCCGGGCCTTACCTCCCAAGACCTTATGGCGTCTCGGGAGTCCCACGGTTTGATAGGCCTGAAGTGAAGGTAAGGCGCAGCTATGGTGAGCAGAAGTGCAGATGATTCTGATCCAGTAGTTTGACGCTAAGCCCTAAGCCCCCAACCCTAGACACGAAACCCCTAAACCCCTAAACCCCTAGACCCTAACCCTTACACCCTAAACTCTTTCTTATCCCATGGTGCGATCAGAGTTGAAGCTCGGACAGCCTGAACCCAAGTCTGGAACGCATCGTGCGACATGCTGATTTTCCACCAAAATTGGAAAAGAGCGCCCCAACACAGCCCCCAAGATACTATGATCCTCATTACAGGGACCCTGCGGGAAGGAGCCCCTAAAACACCCACAATGCTTAGAGCAAATCGCGAAGCCGCCTCAGGCAAGGCGAACGCCTTCCGACGTGGCCTCAGCTTCTGGTGCTCGCATGCACTGACAGAATTAGGCATGCTGCACGAAGTAACCGCAGTCAGAATCTCCAGCTCAAAAATGATGCTTCCAGCTAAGTCCTGCTGCCATGCTAGAGCGAGATTGCTGCGGTTTCTTTGGATCCTGTGTAAGAGGTATCCTAGAACCGACATGAGGAAACCCTGGCATCTAGGTTCCCTATGATGTTTAGCTCGGTGGTGGATGACACGCAGAAGACGCCCACATGACCGTGGATCCTGAGGCCTCGGCTTCAGGGTTGAGACCTTCCCCAAGCTTTCAGAGGATCAAGGGATCAAAGCAAATTTCAAGCTCCAGAGCGGGTCGCTTCCGGAGTTTGGGAGGCTATTGATTTTGGAGTTCCTACACTGCATGTGCCCACTGAAGCCATCTGGGAGAATTTGTTCAAGTCAGGTGTGCCAGCAGGCTGTCTAGACGTGCGGAGCCCGTAGGTCGCAGTCATTTTCTTAGGATGGCAAAGCCGATGCATGGCTGTCCAAGTCCAAGCTAGCTGCTGCCAAGATGCAGGTGTCAGTTTTCGCGCAGCCGATGCCGTTTCCGTCAGCTGGGTATCGAGCTGCGCTTGTACGAACAGCGTCCCGCGCACATCATTCCCCAAATCATGATTGCAGCTTCAGAGTACATGGGGACCAGATCCAGAGAATACAGACGTTAGGGAGCTCTCACTTGGCAGAGTGCCATGCAGCCATAGCCGAGCCCAACAGCATGTAATATTGATCGTTGCAGTAGTACAATCCTGTACAATCCCCAAGAATATCGTAATATGGTGGCTTCTATTTTCTAACTTTCCATTCCTCCATATCCTGCTAACCAGAGGCAAGTAAGTGGGTCTGCAATCAGCTGCCACGCGAGAGATTGGGAGAGGCTTCATTGGAGAGCTTCGACCCTGCCCAGGCAGCCAACAAAAGGATCTAGGCTTCAGGGTTTCACGTGTGTGTGTCCCCTGAATCCTGCATAGACGAGGGAAGACCGAGGGCCTCATTCCTTCTCCTTACAAAAGTACCTTCCGACTTCACCGAATGTCTCTACTGATAGTGAAGAACTTTGGGTACCTAGAGGACAGTGATTCCACAGAAGGATTCCAAAACCAACAGCGGTGGATCAGTGCAGGACATGATTTCTCACTTCAATGTTAATCCGCCAGACTACCTTCTTGTCCGTCCTAGCTGCATGCCGCGAATATGAGTTGTGACAACCAGTTTAAGAACCCCGTGATGAGACCCCCCCATGCTGGGTTGCTGTTCAGGAATTTATCTTAAGTTGATACATTGGTATATTACTTACTATACATACCCATTTCGGTAACTTAATTTAAGTTGTTATATTGGGGGAACTATATTGTTGCCTATACATACCCATTATGGTAACTTAGTTTAAGTTCCTTAAATCCCTATATTACCCCAGTTTCCATTTCATGTTCAATTTTCTTTTCCAGCTGATTCTCCAATATAGGGGGATACTATAATACCCTAGACCCTAAAACCCAGAACCCTAAACCCTGAACTGTAAGCCTTAAACCCCTAAACCCTGAACCCCTAAACCCTAAACCCTAAACCTTAAACCCTAAACTCCCTAAACCCTAAACCCTAAACCCTCGTCCTTTGCTCCGGAGAGAGCCCAAGCTCGCCGCGGCCCAGCTTCCCAGCGTATTAGGGGGCATGGGGGTCTAGGGGTTTAGGGTTTAGGGTTTTAGGGTTTAGGGTAGGGCATGGAGGAGTGGAAAAGAACATGGAAATTACTGAAGGGAATTATATTGGAATTATGCGGTAGTTCTTTGTAGGGAGAATGGAAAAGACAACGAAAACGCTTACATTCCTGGGGATTGTAGAGGAACTACTGTACGAATCCATGCTTAGTGTTGTTTCGGGGAGTAGCGAAAAGACACTGGAAGCTACCATAGGGGCTACTATACTGTAAGGATCCTAAACCCTAAGCCTCATTCCCTGCTAACCAGAGGTAAACAGTAGGGAATGAATGGAGGAGTGGATCTTTTATTTGCCACAGCAGGAGTTTGGCAAGAGTGGTGGAAACGCCCCAGTAACTGAAAGCCTGCTATTGCTCAAGTGCAACGCGCGCGTAGGAACAACAGTCTTACCGGCAGCATCGCTAGGAAGTTTCATGGAAGCTGGGATGCGTATGTTCATCTTGCTGCTGCCTGCCTTGGCACTCCTTTTGGGAGGCTGTGGTAATAGCACAGTCCCGACTGAACATGACCACAAATATCTCGGCTCCCAGTGCAACGTGCTGACGGGAGCCCTTTGCAATCCTGCACAGCTTCCAATGTATTCTGGTGAGGTCTTCAGTCCAAGCTGGCTGTTCCATGCCAAAGCCGATCAAATTACCTATGACCGAACTCCTCATTACGATGATGATACACAAGTAAGCCTTTCTACAACTTTGTACGACCAGTCCATCAAAAATGCCAAGAGCTTTGGTTTGTCCCCTATTGTGCCTTACAAGGGCATCACTTTCAGTGGAAGCCTTCAGTACCAGCACGTGGCCAGCACCATGCGTTCGCAAGAATCCTTGAACTACTATGCAGAAATCGCGCGTAGTTACATCGTTTACACGGTTTACATGTCGGACGTGGGAAGGGTAAACCTTTCTCACTCTTTTGCAAGTGCCGTACGAGGCCTTCCAACTCATCCAATGAGTGAGGATGACTTTACGCAATGGTTCATGTTTTTCGCCACTTACGGCACACACTACGTGAAGAGCGTGGCTTTTGGTGGTCAGATGCAGCTCTCAGTCTTTCTCAAGTCCGATGTAAGGAACGACGAATCCGTAAACAAGACCAGTTGGAATTTCAACTTGGATGCCATTCGTGGTAGTCGTGCAGAGTCGGATCCCCGCCCACCGCCTGGAAGTTTTCTTGAAACAGGTATGCAGAAAAGGCATCGAACTGCTCGCGCGTGTTGCTGGGTGTGAAGTTCGCACCGATGCCTGCCTTTTCCTTGAACACGGGTGACGACTGTGCAGAAACACCCGGCACCCATTCGGACTGAGTTGGGCTCAGTTGCCGAGCTCATGCCCGCCGCTACAGTGGAGTATTTCCAGGACATACTGAGCAAGTACTGGCAAGTTTGTAACTCATCTGAATCGATGGGGATTTGCAATGGGCACGGGATGTGCGACTTCAAACAGAGGAAGTGCATGTGCGATGCTGACATTGCCTACCAGGATGAGGACAATGGCATGTGCTATCCCAAGTGTGAGGGTGGCTGCGGGCATGGCAAATGCGTGAAGGGCAGCTGCCAGTGCGATTTCAACGAAGAGCACAAGGTGGGTTTCTACACTCCGCTAGGGCAGCCTGCCTGTTCAAAGCCTTGTGGCAGCAAGGTTTTTGCGACAGCCGGAACTGATGATGTCCTACTCATACCCGGGACGGACAAGGTCTTAGGCGCGGAGCCTATCTCAGTGGACTGCTTCTGCAGGCAGGCCATTCCAGGGTACGATGTGCGCGGCCAGGGTATGCCAACAACGCCGTGCCAAAACCCAACTACATATTCATGCCATGAGCAGGACAGAGTCATTTGCGACTCTCCGTGTGTCTTCAGTGGCTGCCCAGTCTACACGGAAATCACTTGCACCCATGGTTCCGGAGTGGAATGCCCCCACGCAGACATCCAGAAGGTCGGTGGCGCAGCAAGGGGGATGAAGGCTAGCCTGCCAATGGCAGAAGCTGGCAATCGCACAGGTCAAGCTCTGCCGCCAAGGCTGGTAGTTTAGATGGGTTGACACTTGTGCCAAAGGCACATGGGCTCGGCGAAGCCGATCTTTCCAAATTTCCATATCCTGCAAATTGTGCTGCTATGCAGAGCATAAGCACATCGCAAACTGGAGAGAGTGTTTGGGACGTTGTCCTTTCCGCCAGGATGCTGCAGAGATTGTGAAGTCAAAAATAGTTACAACAAAATGCATAGGCAGTAGACGCATCATAGTGGTTCCCTTCTTGCCGCTTCTTTTGCTGTTTGTCTGTCTAGTCATTGCACCAGACCTGTTGTGCAACCCTTTCTCAGCAGCCACAGCCTTGTACTCTCAGGTCTCCTCCAGTAAAGTAAGGGGTTCAGCAGAAGTACCACGAATTGACGGCATGGGTCATTCGCACACGAGCCATATTGCGGATGATGGAGGAAGTCCATTTTGCAGACTATTGCCGTGATTTCTCCGGTGGCAACGCACGGGTGGCAACGCACATGTCTTCGAGTGGATGGGTTTTGATTTGACGTGCTCCCCAGTCTCTCATGTATTCTGATGTAATTATGTATGGAATGAAGTGCTTCGTGTGTTCCCTCAATGAAGGTTGTTTTGCCCGGCTTAAGAGGGCATGACATACGCCAGTTGCACTTGGCACATGAACATGCATCCGCGTCGGCTGAAGCTGCACACGCAAATCAATGAAACGGAACGCCTTCCAAAGATAGCAAGGTTGAGCTGTCATTTTGAAACACACCGTGCTATCTTGAGGTCGACGCGTGCAGGCTGAAACTAGATCAAAGAACTTGTTTGAGGTACATGTAGCTGTGTGTCTACGGACCGTCCTACCTCGCGGTCCCTAATTTTAAGCTACGTATAGCTTGAGCATGAAGTCGCCCCGAAAAGAAGCGTAGCCCCGCCCATACAGAAGAGAGCATGGGGCGGTTTCGTGGTCAGCTGCTTGTGGCCTTTGTGGCCCTCGCAGCCTTTACCTCGCGGCCTTTTGCTGGAGACCCCTTTTGTGGGGAGAGCCTGGGCCCGCGCCTACGCCACCAAGGCGCGCCGGTGCCACTATCAGCATGATGCCGGACACCACCTACAAGTACTGTGCGTTCTGGCCATCATCATGATTCCCTTGCTTGAGTTGCCTTTGCTCCTTTGCTAGGAGGGTCGAGGGAAGGTTGTGCAGCCTGCCCTCCAACAGCAAGGTTTTCGCCATCAGCACTCACAAGCTGACCTGAAGTGTTGACAACAAGTTTCAGAAGACCTTATGACCTTGCATTAGGGGCCCGATTGCAAGTGACCGTACGGTGGCTCTTCGAACCACCAAACAAAGTAGAATGACAGCAAGTGATGCATGTGGCGCTGACAAAGGATTCATGTCTCACAGACGCCAAAGCTATTTTTGAAACAATTAAGCATTACTCCGACAAAATGCCCTGAGAGGGTCTCACACGCCATCCCGGACATTTCCTCCATCTTCCACAAATTCTTATTGCAAGCTTAGGGGCTGTTCACAGGTCCTCCGGTTCGAGCTGAGCCCAGATCTTTGAGCACTGAGGAGCAGAAGGAGTGGAGTGGGATCTGCCAAGACTTTACATCCCGCCCCTGTCCCGTACAGTGACATGAGGACTTGTCATTGTATAGCAGATTCTAGCATCTAATTAAATTCATGGAACATAGGCTTGTTCTCTCTGAACTTCGATTTCAGTGGTGATCCCTAGTTACCCACAGGATTCCAGGGTTAACAGAGCCTCCAAACGCCATTGTCAGCTTCCCAGACCCCTGGAACTACAGTTTGCTCACTTCGTGCTTTGCATCTTCTATTCCAGTCCCCTTAGATTCGCGACAGAGCATTCATTTGGGTTTTCAGTTTCTTGGATTGTGGCTTTCTGCTGAAAAGATGCCAGTTGGTTGGCAGCTTGTAACGAGTCTCGGGATGGAAATCCGGTTCCGAGGCAGGCAGGAGGTCCGTGCGATGCTGGACGGTGAACACAATGTTTCGCCACATAGGCTTCAGTCCTTTGGTGAGGCAGAGATGTCTGGAAACAAAAAAAGGTTTCAGAGGCAACAAGAAACATGCATTCCATAGCAGCCAGACATGAAGCGGAAGTGAAGGAAGCCAAACGGGTGGCATCATAAAGCGAGCGTTTGTCGGCACCTGGAAACTAAGGAAACAGAAGAAGTGAAATCAACGAAGTTTGTTGGCTTGGCAAATGGACATCGGGACGGTAATGACGCGGAACCGCTGTCATGTCCGGAAGTGGCCCGCCACAACGCTTGGCCCATCCGGCAATGCTGACTATCGTGTCTCAAGACCCTGGCAGGGAGTCAATGAACGTCTTGATGACTTGCAAAATAAGCTAGTGCGCAGATACACTGATCTTTGTGCATCCGGTCAGGCAAGGCTGGAAACCGTCCGTCAGCTCATAGCTCATCTTCTATCTCGCCTTATGCCAGAAAAGGCCTCAGCTTTAATCGAGCGGGATTTGCTTTGGGCTTGTACACATGGGCAGACTTGTTGAACTACATCCAACAATCATACTATAGTAGTTTCCATTGTCCATTCTCCCTATATAACCCCACTATATGCCCTTTCATTATAAGTAGTGTCCATTTTCTTTTCCGTTATCCCTATATATAACCCCAAAATAATTCCTATATAATTCCCTTCGGTAGTTACCAGTTTTATCCATTATCCCAATATACTATATACCCTATTATTATATAGTAGCTAATAACCCCATATATAACCCCAATATATACATTATTCTATTAAAATATATAGTAGTTTCCATTTTCATTTCCATTATCCCTGTATAGCCCCAATGTACTATAGTAGATGAGTTTGCCAGTCCAAGCGAGTTGGGTTCCCGTTGATGATGCTGCAGGAGCTCGAAGAGGAAGCTTCCCCGGCCCGATTCCGCAACGAGCACCTTGACTTTCTGGGGTTAGAGGGGATATTATAGGAATATTGTAGGGGTTTATATAGGATTAATGGAGACTACATGGAAACCACTATTTAGGGTTTAGGTTTAGAGATTTTTAGAGGGTACCTCTAAGGAACTACCTAGTCTTAACAGCTGTAGAAGGTTTATTGCCGAGGGTACCAAACTCGGCATTGAGATCTCAGGGTCTTGGGAAAAGGGACGCGGGCCCTGCACACCTCTCTTGTCATGACGCAGTACTTTGCCATTCTTGCTTAGACGATGCGGTTTTCGTGCGTATCTGAAACATGCTGGGTCGTGCTTAGAGGGTGTCTGTCCCGGCACGTTGGGCGTAGGCGGGAACACATTTTCCGTTTGCAGTATCCTGCAGCTTTTATACTACAAAATCCTTCGTTCGCAGAATGAAAAAGGTGAAGAATCGAGTCTTTGACTTTCCCGCTCACATACATTAAGACGAAACCAGCAACAGTTTTTCTTGCTTGAAGCCGCAATTCGTCTCACCCTCCCTTTTCCACCCTCTTTTTGCTCCTTGCGACGGCTACACGGATAAAGGCTTGTTTGGAAGAGTTTTTCGCTTACCAAAGGCCTTTTTGAAGGCTGTTCGGGTATGGGTGTGTTGTTTGCTTCCATATTTTTGGACATTGGCAAGACATGAGCCAACGAGATCAAGAAAAGGCGATCGTTGCAGTTGCGATGGCTGTTTTCAAGTTTTTGATAACATTTTGGACGCAGGCCGGAACAAGGCAACTTAGCAGAGCACATTTTCCGTTTGCAGTATCCTGCAGCTTTTATACGACAAAATCCTTGGTTCGCAGGACAAAAAGCAGTGAAGAGTTGAGTCTCAAGGCGTTACGCCCCAAACATATCCAGACATGTTATTCTGAGTGCAAATTTGTACTTTCCCTTAAAATTGTGTTGCACGTACAACCCGCATGGAACCCACAACTGTGATTAACCAAAAGGTACCTGGTCGTGTTGGTGCTGCTAATCGTCCTGGGCACCGTCTTCAATCCATTTCAGTGATGAATTTCGAAAGCAGACAGGACCGATCTAGGAAGGGGAGGTTTTTCATTGTTCGGTGGGTTCAGGATTTTGGCAAAAGCGGGGTTAATGCGGGCTTAGGAACTGTTGGCAAAGGCTGATCCTTACAAAACATTGCAGGAATGCAAATAGCTGTCTCAAAGATTTAAGGGGCAAATTACCATGATCCTGATATTTGGAGGCTTGGATAAGAACAGCGAAAAACAACCAATGTATGCAGATTGTCTTGCCCTGACGCTGTCCAGGAACCAATCGGAGAAACGTCTTGTGATGCATAGACATGAAAATGCAGCCCAGAAGACAAGAAGTCTGGAGGCTACCCATTTTTTAACGCTTGTATTGTTTCTCGGGTGTTTGCCCACCTACAATGTTTAAAGCCGTCCCCCAAGGTTTGCTAGCCTGGGTGTGATCAGCTGGTGTATGGAGTCAGCCTGGAAAAATATTTGCAGGAAGGGAGACGATGCGATCCCATCTCCACCCTTGCTCGTTAAAAATGGACCTTTGCAGGTAGACGTCCCTTTGTATGCGGGAAGTGCAGAGGCCCAAATAACCGCAAAAGAAATTTGGAGTTGGCTATGTTGCGTTCCTGGCAGAACTGTTAAGGAATAGTGTGGGTAAGTATTCAGGCTTAGAATGCATGGGCGTTGGCTTCGAAGATGCAATCCGCAATGCTGTCATGATGCCTTCGTTCAAGGCGGAAACATGTCAAAGGCATTGCTGCAGAGCCACAGTCTGCTTACAAGTGTGAAGGTCTGCGAAGAGGCCGCAATGCAACACATCTTATGCTCTGGGTGTCAGAGCTGTCAGAGTTCCGAGCAGACTTATGTCATCATACTACACCATCTACACCCTTGCATTGTAGAATCCTTTTCGTTTTCTTCTAAGAGCGTCCCAGTTCCCAGAAATTCAGCTCAACAGTCCTTGAACATGTTTTGAGTCTGGACCCTCGCAGCTTTTTGGGCTCACGACGCTTCTTGGTCCTGGCTGCTTAGTCCAGCAGGATGATGCTCTCAAGGCGAGGCATCAGCGAAAACGGAACTGTAG